CCAGGAGCTTCCATCGCCGTCCAGCACAAGAGGAGAGGAATCGACTTGACCAGGAGATCCCACCACCTCCCCCCCCCTTTCAGCATAGCACCGGGCATCACGAAAATCCGAGCTTGCTTCCCCACGACAACCGACGTCGGCAGCCCCTTTCATCACCCATTATCGGATTTCCTGCACACCTTGAACGATGGCGTCCATGTTCGAGCAGTCCGGGAGCGGTACCCTGTTCCTCGGCGGCCAGAAGATCTCTGGCAGTGATATCAGAGACCAGAACGGTAGGCTCGCAACTTGCATCTGCATGGTGCCTCTCTCTTTTTCTTTTTGCTGACGATTCTCCTTTCAGTCCTCGCGACCCAGGCCATTGCGAATGTCGTCAAGAGCTCCTTCGGCCCCAGCGGCCTCGACAAGATGATGGTCGACGACATTGGTGTATGCCTTCCCCTGGCTCGCTGCTGACCCACCCCCCTCCCCTGGACCTTGAGCTGAGCTGACCCGTTCTTCCAGGACGTCACCGTCACCAACGACGGCGCGACTATTCTCAGCCTCCTCGACGTCGAGCACCCTGCCGGCAAGATCCTCGTCGACCTGGCGCAACAACAAGACAAGGAGGTCGGCGATGGAACCACGTCGGTCGTGCTCATCGCGTCTGAGCTGCTGCGGAGGGGCAACGAGCTCATGAACAACAAGATTCACCCGACCACCATTATTACTGGTTACAGGCTCGCCCTGCGTGAGGCTGTCAAGTACATGAACGAGAACATTAGCACCAAGGTGGAGAACATCGGCCGCGACTCCCTCATCAACATCGCCAAGACGTCCATGTCCAGCAAGATCATCGGCGCCGATTCCGACTTCTTCGCCAACATGGTCGTTGACGCCATGCAGTCCGTCAAGACGACCAACAACCGCAACGAGAGCAAGTACCCCGTCAAGGCCGTCAACATCCTCAAGGCCCACGGCAAGGGTGTTCTCGAGTCGGTCCTCATCAAGGGCTACGCCCTCAACTGCACAGTCGCCTCCCAGGCCATGCCCACCAGAATACAAGATGCTAAGATTGCCGTTCTCGACATGAACCTCCAGAAGGAGCGCATGAAGCTCGGCGTCCAGATCACCGTCGACGACCCCCAGCAGCTCGAGCAAATCCGCGCGCGTGAGGCTGGCATGGTTATCGACAGGGTGGAGATGATTCTGAAGGCCGGCGCCAATGTCATTCTGACTACCAAGGGTATCGACGACCTCGTGCTGAAGATGTTTGTCGAACGTGGCGCCATGGGTGTGAGGCGGTGTAAGAAGGAGGACCTGCGACGTATCGCCAAGGCGACCGGTGCCACCCTTCTCAGCACTCTCTCCGATCTCAACGGCGACGAGAAGTTCGACCCCGCATACCTCGGCCACGCCGAGGAGGTTGTTCAGGAGCGCATTTCCGACGATGAGTGCATCCTCGTCAAGGGTACCAAGTCGCTGTCCTCGGCATCCATCATTCTGCGCGGTCCCAACGATTTCTCGCTCGACGAGATGGAGCGCTCTGTGCACGACTCTCTGTGCGCCGTCAAGAGGACACTGGAGAGCGGCACGATTGTGCCCGGCGGTGGTGCTGTGGAGACGGCGCTTCACATTTACCTCGAGGAGTTTGCCGGCACAGTAGGTTCGCGTGAGCAGCTGGCGATCGGCGAGTTTGCACAGTCGCTGCTTGTGATTCCCAAGACGCTGGCGGTCAACGCCGCCAAGGATGCGTCGGAGCTCGTGGCACAACTGCGTTCGAGGCACGCGCTCTCACAGCGCATCCAGGAGGGCGAGGGCAACGAGGACGAGAAGTCGGTGGCGCGGAAGAAGGCCTACAAGAACTACGGCCTCGACCTGACCCGCGGTAAGGTCATTGACGAGATCAAGGCCGGCGTGCTGGAGCCGACGATCAGCAAGACGAGGCAGCTCAAGAGTGCCGTTGAGGCGTGCATCAGCATTATGCGCATCGACACGCTCATCAAGCTGGATCCCGAGCAGCGCGGCGAGGAGGACGACGGCCACGGCCACTAAAGGAGGAGAGCGCGCCGCTGCGGTCCGAGGGCTCACAAAGACGAGATGACGAACCGAGACGAGAACGCTACGAGGATGGAAATGGGGTGCACGTGTAGGAACACCTAGAGCTGATTCATAGACGGACCGACTTCGCAATGATACCTTGGTATGCCTGCTCATTGCTTCTTTCTCTCCTCTCTCTCTCTTATTTCCCAGCCTGTTGCCGTTGCGAAAACTCCCCCGCTCATCTGTATGTGTGCACGCGACACTCATGCATGCTTCAGCTGTTTCCTACTGATTTCTAGATGTCGCGATGTTGCCATCTACTGCAAGCTATCCTCCTTTACGCCCCAAACCAACGGCAAACGCACTAACACCAACCAAACTTCTCGTTGGCAACCCAATCAACCTCGCCATGACCATACCACATGAGACACGCGATGCTCGTGTCCTGCCTGTCGACAAACTCATGTGGCAACCCCGCCCTGTCAATGGCAGCCCGCAGCTTCGCCGTCGGGTTCCACAGCTCGACATTGTTCACCTTCCACGCAGCGGCCTCTTCCCGCGCGAGCCCGATGATGGCGCTCATGGCCTCGGCGAGGTACGCCTCATCGGCCGCGTCCTCGTCCTCGATGGAGACGCGCAGAATGTGGAACGTGTTGCCCTCGGGCTTCTTGAGGCCGCCGTAGTAGCCGCGCGTCCAGACGGCCCAGACGCGGTTCCCCGGCGCGCCGAAGACGGCGCCGCGGATGGTCGGCGTCTTGCCGAAGATGTGCGTCGTCATAAAGTCCTCGCGCATCAGGTGCCAGAGCGTGGCGTCGAGGTCCGGGATCAGGGCGACGCGCGTGCGGCTGTCGGAGGTGGGACGCGCCAGCTGCGCGCGCAGCAGCTGCTCGTCGAGGGAGCAGAGCACGGCGAGCTCGTGGTAGCCAATGTGGGTCAGGTTGGCGGACGGCGACGGCTTCGTCTCGGTGTCTGGAGAAGCCGACGCGGCTGGCGGGAAGGACAGGTGGGCCGACTCGTAGGCGGGCCAGCCGCTCTTGGCGTAAAAGGTCTTGCCAATGTCGGAGAAGAGGATGGAGAAGGCGACCTCGCGTTGAGGGCTCCGACGCAGCCCGCGGCCGGAGGCGGCCGAGGGCGAGAAAGGAGTCCGGTGGGCCGAGGGCGCGGCCCTGCCAGGTGGCGAGGTGGGGGCCCAGCAGCTTCATCATCTTGGAGGCGTAGCCGTGGCCGCGGTAGCGGGGCTCGGTGAAGACGGAGGTGATACCGTGGGTGACGCCCTCGCGGACGGTGCCGTCGGGGCTCGCGACGAGGCAGCGCTTGCGGATGGACTCGCAGGATGAGAGCACGGGGCGGGCGCCGGGGGCGGCCGAGGGGTCTGTGAGGATCCAGTGCGTGATGCCGCCGTTGCGCGACTGCGGCACCGTCGTCAGGAAGTGCTCGCGGCGGTGGTAGACGTCTAGGTCGAGGGCGGCGCCCCAGTGGGGGTGCGTGGCCGTCCACGTCGCCGTGCGCTCGTCCGGCGTGGGAATGGCGAGGGCCAGCTCGGGGGCCTCTGCGTGAGAACCCATGTTGTTTCAATACTGCTTTTTCTTGTAAGACGATGGGCGGTTGGGGGGTTGAAGTGGTCACTTTGGGTGATGATGAGGCTGAGTGCTGAGGCTCTCGGCTTTCTGGTGATGGAACCCTTTTAGGCGCGAATGAGACGGAGGTGGGCGGGCGAGCGAGCGAGCCAAGCGAAGTCTGGGGTAAATGGGGCTTATTATAAGCGCCAGACGAGTCAATGAACGAAACCCCCCAGGTTCCATTTCCTTTCTTCCTTTCGTCGTCTTCTCCTGTTCCCCATTTTCCACGCCCTACGCCACGCCCTCCAGCTCAAGACTGGCGAGAATGGCGAGAGACGACCCCACCACCCCCCTCAACATTGACCTGCCTTATCCTCGTGCCAGTTATGCGTTGTGTCAGTGCTTGTTTCTCTGGCGGGTGGTCCCTTGCACCCCAGGTTTCGACAGAGCCCGTCTCGCTTCCGCTTCCTCTGCGACCACGCCCCCTCCCTCTCCCTGGGGTTTTTTGTGTTTTTTGACGTCTCACCAGGGCAGGTCAGCAGGCCGCTCTGGAGCCGCGCCGTGCCATGTACTTTTACGTCATTGGATCGAGGGGCCATGTCGTGTCTCTGGCGCGCGACAGGCCAAGAGTCGGCACCAAGACGCCAGGCCGGTCGCCGCTTGTTAGGTAATTAGTTGGATGACCCGGATGAAAGAATCAGCCAACATGCTGCAGAGAGTGGTAAGGGCACAGGGAGCAGCTAGCAGGGCCGCCTGTCACGGGTGCGCCGGCGGCGTTTCCCCCTCATGCTCGTGCGGGCGCGGGGTCGTATCGGCGCCGGCTGAGCCGACGGTAGGCGGGGGTTCGGCCGGCGCCATCCGTTTGTGTGAGGGATGCGGCGTGTCTGACACTTGGCCTTGCAGAACCTCGAGCAGGTCAGTGAGAGGTCGTGCGTGGATGTCATGTCATTCGTTGATGGCTTGGAGGATGTGCTACCAGTGTTGGAAGCCCAGAGGCCGGACGAGCAGTGTGACGTTGTTGTGTCTCCCGATATGCTTTCTCTTATCTGCAGACGCTGTGAGACCTGGTGGCCATGAGCCATGCATCACGATGATTGCGTTTGATTCGTCTGATACCATGCACACGTCAGATAGGGTAGTTGTGTACGTTTGAGCATGCATTTCTGTTAGATCTGCCAGTAGTTTTGCCAAGAAATCTTCAGAGATTTGATCCTCTGAGACCCGGGCTCAGCCTCATTCTCTGCCCATGATCAATCTGCCCATGATATCACCCGCGTCCACCTGCCGCCGTCATTCCTCATCATGCTTCAACCCCAGATGGATGCCGTCCTCGACAGCTACTCGCGAGAGGGACTCGGCAGAAACACCTTGTCCGTGCTCCCCTGCTCGTCAGCATCCCGATACCCCGATGGCGGCTCCATCCCGCCGGCCTCCGCATCGACGCCGTGCCAGGATGGAACGACAACGCGCGCCGGCGGTTCGTTCGTGTCGGCATCGTGGAAGTACCGAATCGCATCCCCGCTGGCCGTCGTCATTCTGAGCCGGTACACCTCGTTCGCGGCTCGTCCCGCGAGGACGATGCGCGCCACGCTGGAAAGGTCAGCTTTCCGTACGTCCAAATCTTTCCGTACGTCCAAAAAAAAAAAAAAAATCAAAAAAATCAGAAAAACCTCAAAATAGTACAGTTGCATCATGCATTTTCGACCGGCTGCTACCGCAACAGGGAACGAGGAAGCACACTTACATGGCAATCCCCATGCACAAAACAGGCCACCCCCAGCCCCCGCGGCCGAACCAGTTGGGCGCCCAGTACCCGCCGAGCATGATGTACAGGTACAGCGCCAGCAGGACGGCGTGCAGCACGACGAGGGAGGCCTCGGCGCCGGCCGTGACGGCGGGCCGCATGCCGCGCCGCGCCCGGAAGTGGCGCTGCACCACGGCCCACTCGGCCAGGTCGTACGCCAGCGCCGCGACGTGCGCCGGCAGCCCGAAGCGCAGGGGCGCGCGCGTGCCTTCGCCGTGCGTCGCGGCGGCGATGGGGATGCCGGCGGCGGCGGTCATGGTTGCGGCGCAGCGGAGCGTGAGCTTGGTCCAGTGCCAGGCTGGGCTCCAGGGGGTGAGGCGGCGGCGGCGGAACTGGGGCGGTGCCGTTTCGGGGGCGGTGTCGTGGTCCGGGTCGTGGTCGGGGTCGACTGGCGTGGTGGAGGGCCATGGCGCCGCCGCTTGCTTGCTGGACGAGGCCTTGGTCGTGTCGCCGAAGGATTGCATTTTGGACGTTGGTGGAGAGAGAGAGGGAGAGAATACACAGAATCTGAAGTGGCGGCTTGACTTGCTGTGAGGATTGGTTTCTATCAAAGAGGATGGATGATTGCGATGAGAAGCGGATTGGTAGTGGCAGCGTCATGTTGGACTTGTATGGCGGAGAATCTCCGAGAGTCCGGAAGGATTTGTTCCCAATGAAGCATGTTGGCGATGAAGACAAGAACGCTCTCTCTCAGGAACGTATGTTGAAAGTCGGCAAACCCTGTTTCGACCGCAAGCCCGCAAGCCCGAGACGCCAGCGAGGAACATGTCAAGCGTATTTGGTGCTCATTGGATCCTATCTCGCTGCCTATGCCTCTGTGTCCCGGGGTGAGCCTCACGGCCAATCCTCACGGCGCAAATGCTGATGCCTGGTCGCGATTGATCTCCGTGCGGCTGCAGCTTCAGGGGTCGGGGTGGGCGGAATCCTTCTCGCCAAGACGAGCTGTGGAGGATGGGCCTGGACCCTGCCCTCGTGAAGCGGCAACTACGGGAGAGCCAAGCTTAATTCATGGCTGAAGGGTTGGTCGGCAGGTTGCTGTGTAGGATGGAGCCATGTCGGAGTTTCGGAGTCACAAATGGCTTCTACTGGCGACAGAACAACCTGTCAGACATGGTCTGATGATGAGAAGTACGAGTGGTTGGCAAGGCAACTGGTCAACGTCTGTCAAACCAAAGTCGACGACATGATCTGGTTCTCCTCTGCTTGTTTTGTGGGCTAGAAATTGCAGGAAAGGAAGTCCATTTTCCGGAGCATTGTACGTCTACAAATGATCCAGACCATGGTTTGTTCGATGTGGATGCAGACGAGACTGCGCTTGTCGGAAAGCATATTGATACTTTCCCTAAAATTTCGCCATCAGTTGCGAGTTCCAGTGCCAATCAGTATAGCAGGTAAAGAATCTGGAAGATCCATCGCTACCCCCAAAGGCATATGCAGATTGACGAACCTGGCGGAAGACTCCCAGGGTACGCGATGCTCTCCAAGAAATCAGAACTTCACAGATCCGGTAATATAACCTGACTTTGAAGGAGAAAAATTAGAGCTCAAGAGGGAGTCTCTTCAATGTCAGGCACCCCGTGAAGTAGATCAGCTAAGTATTGCCAGGCCTGCAGTGCACATGTCCCCGGATTGCCATCTAGGAGAACTGCCCTTTCAGTTGGCCGGCCAAACTCGGTTTTTGAAACTCTTTGCGTAGTATGGTGGGTACAGCATGAGCTTTCGCAGTCGCAGTCGATACATTGGTTGTCCATGGTCACTTGACAATTGAATTGTTGTTGTCTTCCCGAGATGTTGTCTTTAGGATGTGTCAAGCAAATGGTTGAGAACTCTCAAGCGAGAACAGCCAACTGCCATCCCTAGAGCAGCGGGTTTGAGGATGAGGATAGCAGGAGCCCAGGCAGCCGGGCCATCAGGCTTTCAAGAATCATCCAATGCAACGAAATACTTGACTGAGGTTAGACATGGCATAGTGACTTGGGTCTTGTGCTCAGTATGCTCCAAGTACCGGCACTGAGGCGCGCGGCGACCTTTGCCATTTGGAGGAGGCTCTGGGCTCAGCCCATGTCAATATTGGCTATCTGGTCATGCTACGGAAATCTCAGACGGAGTATCAAGGGCGGTCTAATACATGATGTTATTTACAAGACAGCGTGCTATGTCCGTTCTGCAGCAGATGGTACATCTCATATACTTATGAGCAAAGAACGATGTACAACTGGTAGACGAGATTCCTTGCCGTGGATTGCATCAAGACATAGGCGATGATTATAGGAGCATGATTGATTTTCACTCCCACAAAAATCTAATCAAGAGGCACATAGCTGAAATTCAATTGCATGTATGAGGAGAGAATTCGAATACGCCTCATTTGCATCACATACTCGTGTCTGACAAGAGCACCAAGACAGCTTTCAGAGGCATCCCGCAAATGGCATTGCCCAGTTCGCAAGCGAGCAACCCAAATCACGTAGGACGCGACATCAGGAACCATGTTGATTAAGCATATATACGTGTAATACAGCAGAGCGAGCCCTCGATGGACGAAGAAT